GGAAGGAGATCCTGATTCCGCTATATAGATCTTTGGTTATCATTTGAGGGATCACTAGCAGGAAGAAGGAGGTCCTGATTCCTCTTTATAGATCTTTGGTTATCATTTGAGGGATCACTAGCAGGAAAAAGGAGATCCTGATTCCCCTTTATAGATCGTTGGTTATCATTTGAGGGATCACTAGCAGGGAAAAAGGAGATCCTGATTCAACTATATAGATCTTTGGTTATCATTTGAGGGATCACTGGCAGGAAAAAGGAGGTCCTGATTCCCCTTTATAGATCTTTGGTTATCATTTGAGGGATCACTAGCAGGAAAAAGGAGATCCTGATTCAACTTATATAGATCTTTGGTTATCATTTGAGGGATCACTAGCAGGAAAAAGGAGGTCCTGATTCCCCTTTATAGATCTTTGGTTATCATTTGAGGGATCACTAGCAGGAAAAAGGAGATCCTGATTCAACTATATAGATCTTTGGTTATCATTTGAGGGATCACTAGCAGGAAAAAGGAGGTCCTGATTCCCCTTTATAGATCTTTGGTTATCATTTGAGGGATCACTAACAGGAAGAAGGAGGTCCTGATTCTACTATGTAGATCTTTACTCATCACTAGCTGCGACCTTGCTTCTGGTATTGTTTTTTTAGAGCCGATGCTCTTTATTGTAAAGCGATCTGAGCAGCTATACAACTGTGTAATCACTTTTATAGGGGGCTGAAGGGGGGTCCCTTCTCTCACACCACCGTGCATCTTCTTTCCCAGGCGCTCCTGTTCCACCGGGGAACCCGGGACTGATGTGTGCAGCTGGCTTACCATAGGATGGAGGAGCTTCCATTCCCTGATTGTCTCTATGGTGTATGAAACCGGAAGCGAGGAGGATTTTGTCACTTCCGGTTTCAGTTTGTGGTTTACAAGCTGTTACTAATCAAACCGATCTCAGTTTGATCAGACGCTTTTGAGGGCACACGAGAGATCTGAGAGCTAATAGACCCCAGATCTATCAGTAAAGAGTACCTGTCACTGACGATGCTATCACAACGGATGTTGTTCATTCTTTGTGATAGCAGTAAAATTAATTAAAAAAAAAATTAAAGAGACTGTAAATTTTTTTTTTTTTTTTAAGAAATCATTTTTAAATAAATATTTGACGGAGAAGTACAGCCAAGCTTGTTTGGCTGTACTTCTCCTGTGGATCACAGGACTGTAGTTCATTCTGCACTCCTGTGACCCTTTTTCAGCAGACTAAAGTCAGCCATCAGCTGATGTCACTCAGCTGCTTCAGGCTGGGGAAAGATTCCGACTTTAAAGTCGGGATCCACCCAGAATCATTGGACTGGCATCTGGCTCAGCCTCTCAGCCCTCTGCTCAAAGCTCAAAGCGGCAGGGAGAACGGCACGGGATCTGATTGCACAGTTCTCACTAGAACTGGCTGGGGACATATGCAGCATTGGATCAATGCTGCATCCACCTAGGTAAGTATAATTTAAAAAAAAATCCTAAACTTCTCTTTTAAAGTGTCCCCAACCTCCCATGCAAAGGCATACGTAGGTCCCGCAGGCATATATAAAGGGTGATTGCACCATGCTGGAAACATTAGAATGAGAACGAGACCTTCTGTTTAAGTGTTGATTTGAATCGTATCCAATCCACATGACGTGAAATAACATGGTCTCCTATGGTGCCTGTTCACATGTCCTCTGGATCAACTGTGGGTGTAGGATTATAACATTTTTTTTTTTTTTAAATGGTTGAACTGGATGGACTTTTGTCTTTTTTCATTTTTTTCAACTAGACTAACTATATAACTATGTTCAGTGCACCGGCGGTGTGGACTCAAAAAGAGTCCAGTCTGATTTCTGAGCAGTGCAATCTGGTTCGTGTGCGGATTACACACTCATTGACTCTATTTGGAGTCGCTTTCGAATCGCACGTGTCATGAGTTTGTGAACACGATTTCAGGCCGTTTTTCTCTCTTCAAATCCTGACCTGAATTAGAAATGAACTGCTGAACGACTGCTTTTCAATTCGCACTTAAACCAGAGCTCAACTCAAACCATTGGTGACATGGCCTCAAACTAGTAGGTAAGTATTGTTTTACCAAAAGAATAGTTGATGCTTGCAAAAGGCTAATAGCAGAGGTAGTGAATCAGTCAACAGTTAGTAGGTTCAAACAAAAAAAAAATATACAAAATGAATAAAAAAACAAATGGAACAGACTCAGTAGACCACTTTTTTTCTGCAATCACTGCAATAACTACTACGCTATGAAACCACCTGATTGCTCAATAGCAACATGGCACAGCCCTGACGAGTCTGCAGATGCTTGGTGAAAATTCAGCTTCTGCAAGTCATTTTTCCAGAATAGATGGAGCTGATCTTCAGGTAAGTGTGCTATCAATGTATTCTTTGCCATATCCCATTGTGAAGGCTCCTATAGATTATGGTAGGTCAGTAGCTCAGAGTACAGAGATGCCTTGACAATAACTTTTCATATTTCCAAATGAATCCTCGAAGTGTCAAACAGAGGTAATAACCACTACACTATGAAACCACCTGATGGCTCAAAAGGAACAGGGACCAGCATTGAAAAATGTTGGAGCTTGCTGAAAGTTTTGCCTTAGTCTAGGGGTGCCAAACTACGGCCCTCCAGCTGTTGAAGAACTCCAAGTCCCATCATGCATCTGTCTCTGGGTGTCTTGCCTGTGCATGTCAGAGTCTTGCAAGGCCTCATGGGACTTGCAGTTCCTCAACACCTGGAGGGCCATAGTTTGGACACCCTGATTTTAAAGAAGAAATTTGGTTGGCCTTCAGGTAAGTGTGCTGTCAATGTATGCTTTGTCATATCCCCATGTGAAGGCCCCTACGGATTATGGTAGGCCGGTACCTCAATGTACGGCAGTGGTTCTCAACCTTCCTAATGCCGTGACCCTTTAATACAGTTCCTCATGTTGTGGTGACCCCCAACCATAAAATTATTTACCCAGTAATTATAATTCATGAGTGTCGTTTTACCTCCAATACTGCTGCTTTCAACACAGTAGCTGCTTTTAACAGAGTAGCTGCTTTCAACAAAGCAGCTGCTTTCTACACAGTAGCTGCTCTTTACACATCGGAAATATGTGTTTTCTGATGGTCTTAGGGGACCCCTGTGAAAGGGTCGTTCGACCCCCAAAGGGGTCGCGACCCACAGGTTGAGAACCACTGATGTACGGAGACACCTTGGCACTGACTTTTCCATAAGTTTCCAATGTTTGAATACTGACACCTCTTGTTTATTGTGAACATTAGAAGCAGGTATTAATTAGGTTTCTTTTGCTAACAAGGATGTGCTGGGAGCTTTAATATTTGGCATTTGGAACTCAAGAGGCACAGCTTGGTGGGTTCAAAAACCCTCATCAGAATCTACTTTCCAAAATTACAATTTCCATTTGTCATATAGATTTATCGTTTTTTATCTTCTCGATGAGCTGGCAGTAGATCCGCTTTCAGATCTTAGGATGGAATGTCAGAGTGACTTTGAGCTGTCATTGGAGAGCTGATGAGCGCTGTACAGAGCACCGTTTCTCACGAGGCCTGAGGCACAATTTGGTGGATGCTGTCAGGGGTCAGTGAATCAAAAACGCAGCTGAGAATCTTGTTGGCCTGAAGAGAGAATAGGAGAGAAGATGAGGTAAGGATGGGTGCTGCAGATAGACGTTGGAGGAAAATAAGGTGACACAGAAATGAGAAGACGAAGCAGGATCACTCTACTCAGTCAGCACATCTCACTCTTATCTCTCAACTCCCAAACGAGCAGCCGAGAATGCAATTCACTGCTGCTAAATGAAATCAACAATATAAATGCAATTCTCCGCAACTTGGCCAATGTCTGGTTTGTGTAAGTCGTGTCAGCACAATGAATAGCTGCAGCCGGGGAGGATCTGTGCAGGCACGTGGTGCTTACCTGTGGCTGGCTCTGGGGACTCAGCAACGATTGTGTAAAGTTCTGTCCATTTTGTAAGTTAATACTGGAAGAAAATAATAATAATGTTCAGCAATAAATGTAAAAAAAAAAAGGATAAAAAAGTCATTTTTGACCAGTGCTGGGCATGGGAGGATTGTCACAGGGTTCAGAAATACTTTAGCCAATCAGCTTAGGTAAAAGCTGTCTGGGTTTTTAATTTTCAGGTCATTATTACATGTACATGGGAGCAGACATATCTATACACATGTGAATCATGTTTTAGTACTGAAATACAAGGGGTTTTATTTAAAAAGTATGGCTAAAGCTCATTTGGCCATACTTATCCTGCAGGTCAGAGGAGTACACTCCTGTGACCCAGATTCAGCTGACAGCAGGCTAAAGTCCAGGCACTGCAAGGATCTCTACAATAATGTCGGGATCTGCTCAGATGCCTGACCGGCAAGCTGGCTCTGCATCTCAGCACACTTCTGTGATCCTGAGCCAGGTGCTCCCACCCCCTGCACAGCCTAGCGCTGCAATGAGGGCTGGATGGGCAGAGCACAGAATGGTGACTGACAGTCGCCGCCCTTTCCTCAGAGCAGAACCGAGAACTGAATGATCAGCAGTCTGTGATCGCTCAGTTGGTGTAGAGCCAGTGGGGGACAACTGCAGTATTGGATCGATACTGACGCCATCTAGGTGAGTAAAAACGTTTTTTTTTTTTCTTTTCCTGTACTTCTCTTTGAATTTGGGTTCACACGCGGCCGCACATTGAGCGGTGGTTGCCGGAGCGGGAAATTGCAGCTGTTAATGCAACTGAAAACACTCACAGCTCTGTAGAGACGCAAGGGGCTGCCATTCATTTTTAATGGCACCCCCATGTATCTCAAACCACAGTGGGTTCGTGGGTGTAGGAACTGCAGGGAAATCGCATGGCGCAAAAGAACCATGTGATTACCTTGCGGCTGTGTTTTGAAAAACGTACATGCGCACCCTTTTTCTGTGGGAAACACAGGCAGGGCGGCCGTGCCTGTGAAAGCACGGGCCGCTAACCCACTAAGTTATGAGCCTAGGTTTAAATTGCATGTGTAATGACAGAACAGGGGCGGACTGACCATTTGGAAACTCGGGCACTGCCCGAGGGCCCGGGGTCAGTAGGGGGCCCCATGAGATGCCCCTGGTACCTTTTTCACAGGCTTTTTTGAGTTTGGGCAAGGACACAGGGGCCCCATGATCCCCTATTGCCCGGGGGCCCCATAAGTTGTCAGTCCGCCCCTGTGACAGAACTATAGGGGCCACCATTTCTAGCTTTGTCTTGAAAATGCTAGTTACCTGGCTGTGTCCAGATTCAACACAGGCCATTCACTTTCTCTTTTTCGCTGCAAGCTCCCCCACATGATTAGGGGTGGCCCCATCACTTTAACTGACACGTCATCTCTGTTCCCCCCTCTCCACCACATGTGACCACAGCGTCATTTAGTGGGGAAGATCTAGCATGGATGATTAACTGAAGACTGTGATTTAAGGCTGTCATTCTACAAAAAAAAAAAAAAAAAAATCCATCTCCACTATTTAATTACCATCAAATAATGCATATATTTTAATCAAAACGTTTTATTTACTAAAGGAAACATTTTGAAACATTTTTATAGTTGTTTATTAAAATAATTTTTTATTAACCACTTGCCCTCCAGAGGATTTACCCCCCTCCGTGACCAGGCCATTTTATGCGATATGGCGCTGCGTTATTTTAACAGACAATTGTGCGGGTCTTGCAACTTTGTACATAAACTAAATTTTATTTCCTTTTTTCCCCCCACAAATAGAGCTTTCTTTCGGTGGTATTTCATCACCTGTGTGGTTTTAATTTTTTGTGCTACAAACAAAAAAAAAGACCGACAATTTTGAAAAAAACAAAACAATATTTTTGACTTTTTGCTATTAAACATGTCCAATAAAAAACATTTTTAAAAATCACATTTCGTCATAAATTTAGGCCAAAATGTATTCTGCGACATGTCTTTGCTAAAAAAAAAATCCCAATATGTGTAAATTAATTGGTTTACGTGAAAGTTATAGCGTCTACAAATGACGGTATATCTACTGGGATTTTTTTTTTTTTTTTTTAATACTAGTAATGGCAGCAATCAGTGACTTATAGTGGGATTGTGGCGGGAATTCTGACACTGAAGGTGAGGAGGGGGGGGGGGGACTGACTGACTAACTGCCACTGCCATTCCCATTGACACCAATACAGTGGTCAGTGTTAATATAAAAAGCACTGACACTGTACTAATGGCACTGGTCAGGAAGGGTTTAACATCTGGGGCAATCAAAGGGTTAACTGTGTGCTGTACTGTGAACACAAGCTGCTTTGTATTGTTCTGCTGCTGCGCAGAGCAATACAAAGCAGCCTGTTCGTGCTGACCTGGCGGACTGACCATTAGGGAACTCGGGCACTGCCCGAGGGCCCGGGGTCAGTAGGGGGCCCCATGAGATACCCCTGGTACCTTTCAAAGGCTTTTTTGGGTGTGGATTGAGTGTGGGGCGAGGACACAGGGGCCCCATGATCCCCTATTGCCCGGGGGGACCCCATGAGTTGTCAGTCCACCCCTGGCTGACAGGTAAGAGATTTGTATTGTTTACATACAGACCTCTCCTCTGTCAGCTCCGCCGATGATCACCGAGTCCCGGCTGAGAATCGGCGTCCGGGACCCGGTGATTGACATGCCGAGGAGCCAATAGCAACGCGGGTAGGGAGTGTGTGCGTGTGTCCCCCCCACCTGTAAATACAAAATCACGTATGTATACGTCATTTTGCGCATCCCTGCCGCCCTGTAGAAGTACTTTTGCTATAGGGCGGTCGGGAAGCGATTAAATCAATCACACGACGGCAATAGCATCAGTCAGCACTGGGCAGGCAGGAGAAAACTGTTCCTGGAGTGACATTTCTAGCTGCATCATAGGAATATTTTTTGCCTGGTGGTGCGATTAAGAGATTACCGAGGTCATATGACTGCGGTATATGAGTACTAAAGCTAAAATCTTTAGGGACCAGTAATAATTGTCTTCTTTCCCAAGATGCGTTCTCCATTTAAATCGATGGAAACATGTCAAAGCACATGACAATGAGAGGCAATGCACATCAACAGCCATTTACGAGCAACACACATCTATTACTGACTAATCAATCACAATCAGAATCCACCTTGTATTGGACTGACTAAGCCTGCTTGGCCACCCCTGAGTTACTGTACTTCAGTAGCAAAGGATATGTAAGCCCTAATAATATGGTTGCATGGGTGGCTTTACTGATCTCTGAAAAGAGATCCATGGTGGATCACTTATCAGACCACAGTTGATAGCTGGTTTACAGGCATTCAGAAGGTGATACTGCCGTCTCATGTATGCCTGTTTTTCACCCCCCCCCGCTGTTGGAATATTTTTTCTATCCCAAAGAGATTTTACAACATACCACCACACCGCAGCTGCAATTGGCATGGGGTTGGACATGGTCTTATTGACTTCAATGGGAAAATTTGACAAGCAGTGCCCCTTCAAACGCGACATGCCAAGTTAAAATTGGGGCACTGTGAAGCATCATGGACATGGCAATGTGGACTCCCCCTTCTGGCTACCATGTAAAATTGATGGTGGATGGTAAAAATATGGATCAACTACCTGTTTTTACTACTCCTCCACTTAGGGTTGCCACCTCAGCCCTTTAAACCCAAACACATATTGATTACACAGGTTCTGGGGCTGATTAAGGTGGTAATTAAACTCACTTAGTGCCTTATCTGCATTCAATTACCCTCAGAACCTGCGTAATTAATAAGTGTTTGGTGTTAAGGCTGCATTCACACTTAAGCATTTTGTAGCTTGAAGCTCCAAAGAAGCTCAAACTTAAAAAATCAATTGTTCTTTATGGTGCCTGTTCACACCTGAACGCGCAAACAGGGCCCACAGAGAACAACTGATTTTTTTTTTTTTTAAGTTTGAGTGTTTTTAGAGCTTCAAGCTTTTAAAGTGTTAATAAACCCAGAACCCTGCATTCACTATACCCGTTCTCCCCAGACCCTGCATTCACTATATCTGGTCTCCCCAGACCCTGCATTCCCTATATCCGGTCTCCCCGGACCCTGCATTCACTATATCCGGTCTCCCAGGACCCTGCGTTCACTATATCCAGTCTCCCAGGACCCTGCGTTCACTATATCCAGTCTCCCAGGACCCTGCGTTCACTATATCCAGTCTCCCAGGACCCTGCGTTCACTATATCCAGTCTCCCAGGACCCTGCGTTCACTATATCCAGTCTCCCAGGACCCTGCGTTCACTATATCCAGTCTCCCAGGACCCTGCGTTCACTATATCCAGTCTCCCAGGACCCTGCGTTCACTATATCCAGTCTCCCAGGACCCTGCTTTCACTATATCCAGTCCCAGGACCCCAGGACCCTGCGTTCACTATATCCGGTCTCCCAGGACCCTGCGTTCACTATATCCGGTCTCCCAGGACCCTGCGTTCACTATATCCGGTCTCCCAGGACCCTGCGTTCACTATATCCGGTCTCCCAGGACCCTGAGTTCACTATATCCGGTCTCCCAGGACCCTGCATTCCCTATATACGGTCTCCCCGGACCCTGCATTCACTATATCCGCTCTCCCAGGACCCTGCATTCACTATATCCGCTCTCCCAGGACCCTGCATTCACTATATCCGCTCTCCCAGGAGCCTGCATTCACAATATCCGGTCTCCCAGGAGCCTGCGTTCACAATATCCGGTCTCCCAGGAGCCTGCATTCACAATATCCGGTCTCCCAGGACCCTGCATTCCCTATATCCGGTCTCCCCGGACCCTGCATTCCCTATATCCGGTCTCCCAGGACCCTGCATTCACTATATCCGCTCTCCCAGGACCCTGCATTCACTATATCCGGTCTCCCAGGACCCTGCATTCACTATATCCGGTCTCCCAGGACCCTCCATTCACTATATCCGCTCTCGCCAGACCCTCCATTCACTATATCCGCTCTTGCCAGACCCTCCATTCACTATATCCGGTCTCCCGGACCCTGCATTCACTATATCCGGTCTCCCCGAACCATGCATTCCCTATATCCGGTCTCCCCGGACCATGCATTCCCTATATCTGGTCTCCAGGAGCCTGCATTTACAATATCTGGTCTCCCTGGAGCCTGCATTCACTATATCTGGTATCCCCGGACCCTGCATTCACTATATCCGGTCTCCCCGGACCCTGCATTCACTATATCCGGTCTCCCCGGACCCTGCGTTCACTATATCCGGTCTCCCCGGACCCTGAGTTCACTATATCCGGTCTCCCTGGACCCTGCGTTCACTATATCCGGTCTCCCGGGACCCTGCATTCACTATATCCGGTCTCCCCGGACCCTGCGTTCACTATATCCGGTCCCCGGACCCTGCGTTCACTATATCCGGTCTCCCGGGACCCTGCGTTCACTATATCCGGTCTCCCGGAACCCTGCGTTCACTATATCCGGTCTCCAGGGACCCTGCGTTCACTATATATATCTGGTCTCCCGGGACCCCGCGTTCACTATATCCACTCTCCCAGGACCCTGCATTTACTATATCCACTCTCCCAGGACCCTGCATTTACTATATCCGGTCTCCCAGGACCCTGCATTCACTATATCTGGTCTCCCAGGACCCTCCATTCACTATATCTGGTCTCCCCGGACCCTGCATTCACTATATCTGGTCTCCCCGGACTCTGCATTCACTGTGTCTGGTTTCCCACAGTACACACAACATGGAAATGCAATTATTTTAGTAAATATAAACTGCTAAATACCTTTTCTCATCAGCAATTAGCGCAGTCTTGTGACCTTTATCAGTGTCCATCCCACCACTAGCTAAAGCTTGTAGGAGTTTTCTTTCTGCTCTAGGAGGATGGAAATCCCCTGACCTGTCTGGACAGTGCTGATTGGCCCTGTGCTAATCACATGCACTCTCTCAAGAAAAAACAACAAAAACCTCTCTAGCAATACACACCAAACTGAGCATGTGCAGAAGGGCTACAGGTCCAATCTGTATCAAGTGGTCATTTGAACAAGATGAGGGGCAGAGAAGACAGGATCAGACATCCTTTTTACACAATGCAGTGGATTAACCCCTTAGGTTGCACAGTGAGTATAACAAGCATGCTTTACTGCATATACAGACTGATTGTACTGTTGTGGGTTTAGTGACACTTTAAGCTACAAAACACTCAAGTGTGAATGCAGCCTGAAGGGATGATATGGCAACCCTCCCTCCACTGCCAGTGTGAATTACGCCTGAATCATACTATTGAAAGAATTATGCTATATCTGTAGCACCCTCTTAGTTGACCATCACTCACAGTGACACGCAGGGAAGAAGTTCCTGCACTTCTTTGAAAAACGCAGCCTGCATGGGAACCTCCGTTCCCAGTACGGTTGTGTTTTCCAGTGCGGGCGGCGTGCCATTAGAACTAATGGCACCCACCCGCGGGTCCGCAATTCTCTGTGCGGGTGGTGCGGCTGCACGGATTTTCGTGCGGATCCGCAGCGGCACCCCCCGCACAGATGTGAACCTAAGGTTAAGGGTTTCAGAAGCCAGGAGGCGGGGCGGGGTTTTAGAATCATGTGACCACCTTGATTCGCTGTCACGGAGGTCACATGATCGGGAAAGGTCCTGATCGAAATAGGAGATCAGGACCTTTCCGTGAGTACTGAACGTGTGTGCTGGGAGCACGCAGGTTGTGCGCTCTCAGCACATTTTTTTTTTTTTTTTAATAGAACGCAAATGTATGGCCGCTCAGTGTCTAAGCCCAGATGCCGGGAAACTGCACATTTGCGTTCGGCCAGCGCCAAGAGGTTAATCACCATTACATTTTTTCTTTTTTCTAATCCAAACAACTTTTATTGTCACGATAATAGAGAAAAATGGAACAGTACTTACAGAATCCATAATGACATTACTACACCAGCAGGATTACACATAAATAGAACAACGTGGATACGCAGATCCCGTGATAAACAGAATAACAGAAATGCTAATCAAGCAAAACAGAGACCGCAAGGATCCAAACCTTTCTTGACAGTACCTTGCTTTTTCCTTTTTACGTCTTATTCCTTCCCAACCAGATGTAAACAGAAATGGGGGGAAAGGAACAAAGCCCAAAACATGTTTTCAAACAATAAAAAAAAAAAACCACAACAACAACAACCTCTGGTTCACCCGAGACGTCTCATCAAAAAGAATGGGAGATGCACAGATGGAGGAGTGGAGCCACGCACCTGATATAAAATATCACACCTGCAGAAGTCGGTCCACTATCAATTGAGGATTGGCGAGCTCAGGTGTATCCAGCCAACCCCGCCATACGTGCTGGAACTTCCGATAAGCATTGATATGTTAGTACCAGGGGCGGACTGACAACTCATGGGGCCCCTGGGCAATAAGGGATCATGGGGCCCCTGTGTCCTTGCCCAAACTCAAAAAAGCCTATGCAAAAGGTACCAGGGGCATCTCATGGGGCCCCCTACTGAGCCCGGGCCCTCGGACAGTGTCCGAGTTTCCAAATGGTCAGTCCGCCCCTGGTTAG